TTTATAAATTTGATGCCATGATACGGAATACATGCCCAAAGTCAAGCCTTGTTGATGCCTTTTGGAAAAGTTTGTTTTCTTTGGAGGTCAAGGGGATTTCAGTTACCAGCATAAGAAGTTAGGAGGGACTGTTTTCAGTCAGCAGAGATCACTTTAAGAAGGTGATTACAGAGTAAAGAAAGGGTCGTGGTTTCTGTGTACTCGTCTCTGACTTCAGAACACTCTACTTTAAAGGAGTTTCTATAATTTAAAAAAGATGACTGGGTCTGCACAGAGTATAAACTGTATCCATAACTGGAGATATTAAAAACCAGTTGAGCCAAAATGATTAGCTTTTCCAGAATTAGGCAAATCTGGCTATTTCTACATCCTTATTTCTGAGTAAACAGAAATGATGAGATGGGTTTTAGGATAAAATTGACAATGTCTGTCAGACTGAGAAGCACTCATTTCTATAAAAATCTATTGCATTTGAGTTTTCACTATTCAACTATAGTGGTGAAGAGTTAAAATTTCTATGTATCAAAAAATAAACTGATCCTTTGGGACCAGCAGTTGGCGTAATGACTATATCGCTGGACTCTCATGTAGTTGACCGTGGTTCATGTCCTGGCCCTGATGGCTTGAAATTCACACCAGGTGCATGTGTGTGAGTGCCCAAGATCCTGAGAGGAGAATGGAGGAGAAGGGATTGTGGCGTGGCCATCCCCCCTGGGGATGATTTCTCACTTTCTGTCTCTCTCTGTCTGTCTGGCGAGTGCACGCACCCTATAGCAAAAACCTCTCTGAAAATAATAAATAAAGTGATCCTTGGATTTCAGATCATAAAAGGTTGTATATTTTTTTAATTTCTGGAGGATGCATGTGCTCACCAGAGAGACAAACAGAGAGAGAGAGAGAAAGCACCTCCCAATGGGACATGGTCACAGTGCAATCCCTCTCCTTCATTTTTGTCAGGATTTGGGGGCACTCACAAACATGTGTCCAATGTGGTATTCAAATCACCTGGGCCAGGAATTGAACTATGGTTGACCACGGAGTTTCCTTAACCACTAGGCTACAGAGCCAAGGTTTCCATTTTCAGACACAAGAGTAGAACTGCATTATATCCACAGTCTCCCTCCTAGATATCTACTGCCAACTAGAGAGTCTGGTGAGGTAAGGAGGTTATAAACTGCCTTCCAAGGTCTTGGGAGTTGTTTGCCTGTGAGTGAGGTTAAGATGATTAATGGGAACCTTGAGTTTTGTTTGTTCGTTTTATGAGCTTAAATATAAAGTCAACTAATTTACAAAATCTAACCAAACACTGGAAAACATAAGCACTCCCTTCCTGCAATAGGATCCGGATGGGACAGAGAATGATAATGTGTGACTCACTCTTTGCAAAAGACACTGCAGATCAATGGGAAACTAGTGGAGTAATGGAATGTCAGGCTTTGATCAAAGCTCTAAGGGACCGATGTGCCATGTAGATTGATGCCAGCAAAGTATTTGTGTACCGATCTGCATTTGAGTTAGAAACTCCCAGCTTCCTAAGCTTGGATTAAGGGCATTTTCAAAGACCCTATTATCTGAGGCAGGGAAAGATAGGTTGTCAGAGAAGTAAAGAGCCAAGTGTTGGAGTAATATCATCCCAGGCCTCATCATTCATGTCTCTGGAGAGATTCAGCTGAAAAGAGGGATTTATTTGTTTCTGTTTTAAGTATAAGTCCAAAATATTGCATGGGATATATTTTAAAAAGATCATTGTTGGGCCAGTCCAGTGGTGTAATGGTTAGGGTAACTGAATTCTACATGGTCACCTGCACTGTTCAAGTCCTGGACCTGGAGGCTTCAGAAACATGCAGGGTGTGTGTGCGTGCCCAAAATCCCAAAGGGAGAAATGGAGAAGGGATTGCAGCATGGCCATCCCTCATAAGGTGTGCTCTCTCTCTTCGCCCCCATCTCCTACCCCATTCTCTCTCTAGTGAGTACATGTGTCCACTGGCAATTTTTTTTTAAAAGGGGGAGACCATTGCTTTTGTCCTATTTTATTTACTAAATCTAGCAACCTTGGCTTAGGACTCAGAACCAAAGGAAAACAGAGAAGCAAAGCTCCAAGAGATCTCAGGGAGTCAGAAGTTTTTGATATGGAAAGGGTAGGGTCAACATTTTAAATGAAAGAAGTTGGAAAATAAAACAAAGATTAAAGATAACTGCAAAGTATTTACAGCTCCTTCCATCCATAGGTAAAGTCTAAGTCTCTACCGGTGCAGTTTGGGCTGGGCCTGTGACTGGTTTTAGAAAAGAAAATACACTGAAGACAATATAGAACTTTCCAGTCTAGCCTAGAAATGTCTGGCAGCAGCCACCCTTACTCCCCAGGAGCCTGAGGACTATCAGACTGAAAAATCCTGGGGTAAAAGACCAGATGTAGAGAACGTCTTGGGTGCCTTCCAGACATCCTTGCACATGTAAGAGTCCATCTTAAACATAGCCTCAGTCAAAACTGACCGACTGCAGCCTCAAAAGCCAGACCAAGTTAGACAGCCAGTGCAGACATAATCCTAGAACAGGGCACAGGGGTTGGAGGTGCTACTTCTTCAGGAAAACTGAAGAGAGAGAGAGAGAGAATTCCTGGATTGCATCACCAAATACATGACCAGCGTCTCATCTAACTCCAGAGAGAGTATTAACACTAAATGACCTCAAAGATTCACAAGAAAGTATTCAGTCTCAATGGATAAAGGGTGAACTGGAAAAGTTTGAGAATAATAATAATAATAAAAATACTAACTAGAGGAACTTTAAACCTGAACTAAAGCAGAATAAATTGACAGTATATATCTAATGCTCACCTGAGCATTATGCAGTAAAAATCCTAGAATTTTTTTTATTAATAGGAAATTAACAAAAGCGTTACAGTTTTATTCATTGTCTATTATGCTGGATTTGAATATTTGATTCTGCTTCTCACTAACTTTTGCAGATACTATCATGAGAAATAGAACTAACCTAAGAAACGTGTGTGTGTGCATGCACACATGCATGTGTATGTGTGTGTGTGTCTGTGCATGTGTAGGAGGAAAGAAAAAAATATGCTACCTTTGTTTTTGCCAAGTGTTGCCCAAAGAGGAATGCTTTTAACTACTGGGGAAAGGATGGTCAGGGAGGAGGAGGAGACAGCATAATGATGCATGCCCCAGATTCAGCACCAAAAATACATCTTACCTACCTAGGCTTTTTAAAGCAGACAGACTTGGAATTATCCAGCCCAGCCTACAAGGAGGAAGAAGATTCTTTAATGACCACTATTCTACTTTAACACCCTTTCTTTTTCATAAAGCACTCTTTCTATCACAAACCAGGCCAAGAGTTCAAGCAAACTCTTCACAAAGTATTGTGAAGGCACTGAAGACTAAGCAAGAGGGTCTAACATGGTTGACAGTCTAACCCATACCTTACAAGATCTTTGCAAAGAGTAAATGGTAGGATATGTTTAGTTTAAACACCTAGCATATAATATGAATTTGACAGATGATAACTATGCTATCTATTGTGGCATTATGATATGTCTTAGAACATCTACACATAACTGTTTTAAAATTTTTTGTGCACATGAGTACATTTTTTTCTTTAGCCTGCAATTGTTTAAAAACTGATTGCATTTTATTTCTGTGTGTGTTCTTTTCTATAGCATGGAGTTCCTGTTAAATAGTCCACAAATATTTATTGAATGAGGGAGTGAATAAAGGAACTAAGACATATTTGCTGAATTGCTAAAAAGAGGAGCAATCATTCATAAGAATGCTTCTGAATAACTTACAATCTACAGCCTAAATTCAGGTGCAAAGTGAGTAGGTCACAGGTTTATAGTTAAAGCTCAAAGTTATCCTGGATCTCCATGAACCTAGGTCCAACAGTTAGACTCTTCCACCCCTTCTCCCACAAAAACAGTCAATCCAAGTAGAGTTCTGTTCTCCTTCATTCTTGTTCTTTATTCCTAGGAACACTGGCATGAGAAGTTGAACATAATGGTCAAAGTTTGGTATCCATCACACATGTTTATGCTTCTAAAGGACTTTCAGAGGCACATGCTATAGTGCATGTTACTTCCAGAGAATTACCAATCCAGAGTCACAGACTACATAAGAAACCTAGTTAGGAAGGAGACTAGGAGGTGAGGTGACCTGCCAGAGAGGACACAATGGTACTTTGTTTTTCAAAGAGAATGAAGTGTGACCTGGGATAGAAAAAATGAGTAAGATTCATGGGCTAGCAGGCAGCATGATGGTTAAGCAGTAGACACTCACATGGTTTACTGCAGTTTGAGTCTCAGACCTGAGTGGCTTGAAAGTCACACCAGGTGCATGTGAGTGTGTGTCCAAAATTCCAGAGAGAAAATGGAGGAGAAGAGATTGAGGCATGGCCATGCACCCTAGGGGGTGATTTCTCACTTTTCCTCTCACTGTCTCTCTCTGGTAACTGCAATGCCCTATGACCAAAAAAAAAAGAGTGAGATTCAAACACAAAAAGAGAAAGAGAGAAACTATTTGGTTGTCAGGAAAGTCATGATGCATTTTGCATAAAAAAATACTTCATGACTTTCCCAACAACCTAATAGAAATTTGATAAAATAAATATATATAATCATTAATCCTTAGAATGATCAGCTACAAATATGGTAGCCAAAATCGAACAGTTACTTTATAAGAAATCTCTATTAAATTAAAGAACATTATGCTAGGCTATGTTTGTTTCCATCATTTATTTTTTAAATAATTAGCCTCCTAAACAACCTATAGAGAGGTCAACATGGAAATTGTCTCTATTAATTGCTTGATTAAGATCATCCATATGTGTCAGAGATCTGCAACCCAGCCATTTCCACCAAACAGAAGTCAGCTAAAGGGTGGAGAGTGTTTCTGCCATTCTGAGGACAGCCTGGGTGAAAGTCAATGCAGAAAAGCAATCTGTTTCATGGATAGGCAACCCTTGGTAAGTTCACTGTGCCTACTCACCATGGTCAAGGATATATTTCACAATTTCCCCGTTGCCGGCTTTAGCTGCGTAGTGAAGGAGTGAACAGTGGTCTGGTCCCTGAATTAGCAGGCTGCCTCCATTTTTATAACTTTCTATTAGCTGAAAGAAAGACAAACGAAAAGAAGCTCAGGCAGAATCCAGATCAAGAATAACAGCTAACCGGTAATAAAATAAGAGTAATGTAGCCAACCACAAACGTTTCCAGCCTCAGAGGACACAGAGAAAAAGCAGAGATGAAGTAACATTTCTGGACTGTATTATCACTCAAATAGATGGCCGGTGTCTCACCAAACTCTGGAGAGGGTCTGTGGGTACCCAGCAGCCTAAGGAGACTAAAACATACTGAAGTTTTTCTTTTCTCTCCTGAGCCCTCGTCTCTGTCTCAAGTGAAAGAATAATCATGGCTACGGGCAGTAACAGCTCGGTGTCTGGTAGCCAAGTTCCCTTCCTGTGTCCTTCAGTTTTTCTTTAATCTCTAATGAACCCAACTACTGAATATAAAGGCTGCTCCTCATTTTCCTGCACATGTGTGCATGCACTCACACCATTCTAGTTCTTTTCCTCATCAGATTTACAGCCTAGTTTGCATGCCTCCTGTCAATCATCCAACGCAAATCCAGCAAGGCAGAGATGATCTGCAGGATGAAAACCACAACGAGCCAGAGAATGCAGTAGAGTCGAGATGGGAAAAGACTGGGGCGGGTGGAGGATAGGGGATGGGGGGGGGGGGGGGTGGGAATGAACTTTGCAACCTGAGATCATAAGGTAGCTAAATGAGAATATGGTCTAAGTTCATGAAATGCTGAACATTAGAGGAAGTATAAATGGATTTTTTGTTCTCCAAACGGTGGTACATCAGGATAAGAAGAGCCTTTGTAAAACTTCTAGTAGGTGGTTTTAAGGTAAATAAGAATCAAATAACTCAGCAGATAATAAGCCAAAAAAAAAAATTCTCTCAAGAAGTTCTCTCAAGATGGCACATTATATCATAAATAACCAAACATTTGTCAGTTAAGAGAGTGAACTTACAGTTTGCCTTTGTTCAAATACATCCAACAGAATCGTCACATGCCAGGTACCAGGAAAACAAAAATAAGCATAATAGGGTGGCCGGCTTCAAAGCCCTCACAGTACACTGGGCAGACAGATGGGTGAAGAATTACAGTGACGGAGAGAGGCACCCAGAGGTTATCAGAGGGGCACCGGGGAAGCTTAAAGCAGGGGAATGAAAAGGAGCTGTGGAAGACTTCCTAAGACATAGATCAAAAGGAGTGGTTGAGAGAACCAGCAGTTGGCGTAATGGCTATGTCGCTGGATTCCCACGTAGTCAACCGTGGTTCATGTCCCGGACCCGGTGGCTTAAATCTCACGCTGGGCACGTGTGCGTGCATGCCCAAGGTCCCGGGAGAAGAATGGAGGAGAAGGGATTGCGGCATGACCATCCCCCCTGGGGGGTGATTTCTTGCTTTCTGTCTCTATGTCTCTCTCTGTCTGTCTGGCAAGCGCACGCGCCCTATGGCGGAAAAAAAAAAAGGGAGTGATTGAATGAAGATTAAAAAAAAAAAAAACATATGGGGGCTTTCATCCCTAAACTGTGGGGCAAGAAGATAGAAAAATGTAGCTAATGGCCTCTGACAAAACCTAAGAAAATATTCCATTCTATTCCGCTGCATTGCCTCACTCAAGAACTTCGCTTTGTCAGAAGATCCACGAAGGCTAACAGCATGGACCTAACCAGACCTAGGCAGGACCAGCTCCCTCGATCCTGCCTTTCTGTGCTGTTTGATACACACATTTTAGGAAGCCCGTGGAACAGGGGCTTCTTCTGGTGGCCATGACCCTGGAGTGGCTCCTGGGCTCTCATGTGCTCTAGTCTCTCGCCCTCACACACGCACACAGAGTTTGATGTTTAATGTGCTTTCCACATAGAAGGGAAAAACGTTCAGGCTTAGCAGCCCTCCAAGAGCAGAGTCATTCTTACTCATGTCCTTATTTCCCACAGACCCTAATGGAAAATCCTGCAGAGAATACAGGATAGCACTGGGTTAATCCACCACTGAGCAACACCGCTGAAATCATACGTACACTGTATACAGAGCACCTTTCCCTCCTGAATAACAACTTCTAGGCATACTGTGGTCCAGATAGTGGTTCTGGCACCATTTTCGGGATTATGTACCTAAAGATGGCAGGTGATCAGGATTTTGCAAACTTTTCACTATGTATCTTCTGCTAGTAACCTGTTAAAAATGTAGCACAAGCTTAAAGGTCATGCAGGCCACTTGTGTGTGTGTGTGTACCCTGCCCAAAAAATTCTGAGAGGAGATAAGAGAAGGGAAGATATGGCCAAACCCCCCCAGGGGGTGATTTCTCGCTTTCCCTCTCACCGTCTCTCTCTGTCTCTCTCTGTCTCTCTCTGTCTCTCTCTGTCTCTCTCTGTCTCTCTCTGTCTCTCTCTGTCTCTCTCTGTCTCTCTCTGTCTCTCTCTGTCTCTCTCTGTCTCTCTCTGTCTCTCTCTGTCTCTCTCTGTCTCTCTCTGTCTCTCTCTGTCTCTCTCTGTCTCTCTCTGTCTCTCTCTGTCTCTCTCTGTCTCTCTCTGTCTCTCTCTGTCTCTCTCTGTCTCTCTCCAGTGAGTGCATGTGCCCTGCGGCGGGGGGGGGAAACCCTTAAAAGTGGATGAAAAATAGTTTTTTAAATGTAGCACAGGTTTTCTTCAATTTATTCCCCCCAAATGTTGTGTAGTAGGACAGACCTTCTAAGCTTTGTTTACAGTTTCTGATTTACTAAGGGACATGAAGGCATTCATAATTCCTGATAACTGAAAATAATCTGGGACCACATGGAGCTTTCAGAATACTCATACGATACACTGCATGACATATTAAATATTTGCTAGCTATTTTTTAAAAAGACAGATTAACACTGAAATAGTAATAAAGTAGCTAGCATTTTACAATCACGTCTATGTAACAGGAGTAGTCCATGAGAGCTTTACATATGTTATTACATTCAGGCCTCATGACAAATTAAAGAGAGAGGTAAAATTATTCTCCTATTGTACACATGAAGAAACTGAAGTACAGAGAGAATGAAATAATTGCACAAAAGCACACATATAGTGAATGGCAGAGCCAGGATCTGAACTTGGGTCGTCTGACTTCAGAATTTACATTTACTCTAAATGTAAATGGTGACCACTTCTTTCCCTCTGAACTAAACTTACCAGAAAACACAAGCATTACTCAAAATGTTCAAAGTTAATCAGAATGTCTTCTTTTGATTGTCTAGGATCCCCAAAGTATAAAAGTATAAAATAACAGAAGATGTAAACTCTCGTTCGGAGAATGCATGTCTGGTGTCTAGGTGATTCTTACAGATGCATTCATTCCGATATCTGTCTCAAAAGAAATGCTTCCATTCTTCATAACTCTCAGTGTGGATAGAACAGGAGTTCTGGGCATGTGCACGTTACATCTTAGTGACCCACAGCCCACTTTAACCATTCCGGAAACCAGGGTGCTCTGCCACAACTTTTGCTGGGAAATGCACAAATGCTGGAAAGCCTCCCCTCGCCCTCTCTGCTCAGTCCTCAAAAGAATATACTTCTACTCAGCCAGTGCAGGCAAGATAATGACAAATGATATACAGGATCATGAACATTTGGTGAGAACTAATGTTGATTTCAAGTCCTTAAAAAATCACCAAAGTTTTAGTAGGAGCATATCTTACCTTCATAAGATCACCAGTTATTACCGCCTGCAAAATCGCTGTGAAAGACAACAGAGAGACATTTTATTAGTAGAAGATCCTCTCATTCAAATGTTACAAACTGTTAGATCCATATTTTGAAGATATCTACATTT